TATTGAGCTTGCTCAGATTAGTCAACAAAAGAGGCAAGATATAGATAGTTGCTAATAGGAATCTGCAACTGGTAAGATCCGTAGCAACTAGTATTGGAGTCTTCAGCCACACTTGCAATGTTATCGCACTCCAACCACCGAGATCAATAATGCTCACATCATCCACACAAGGAGAGGCTATCTACCGACCACTGCGACAACATCATGTCAACGGCAGCACCGCACTATCAAACTATACAGAACAAAACGAATCCAGCCTCAATACCCAAGTCGTCGTTGCAGCACGATACACATCAGCACGCTGCTTCTACAATGCCAACACAATCAGTGCGCCTATCGTGCCGACTGGAGACGACCACAGCGATACGCCTTAAGTCATCATCGCCTTCGAGCGGCGGATGGAAAATAAAAAAATAAAAAATACATGCCAACGCTCGACGTAGCACCAAGCCATTAGAATGACACCATTGCACAGCACGAACCTGAGCAAAAGATGAAATGTAGCCGAATGTCAAACAAGACCCCAGCACCACTGTGACTTTGGTTGCATACCGCTTCGCAGTGGTGGATTTCTAGCAAAAATCAACCACCGCCAAGGAACAAGGGGAACACTTCGCCAGCCCGCTTTTGATATTTAGAACTCTACCCAACACAAAAACAACAGAAGATGAGTTTTCTGGATCCTTGCCAACATCCACAATCTAGCCGCAGAAATAGAGAACATGACCAGCCGCCTATCGTGAAGCCCTTTATTATCAGAAGAAGAAAAAAAAACAAAAACGAAAACAAACCAACCAACAAAACAAGAGGTACCAGGTCACAGCACCATAGCAATCAGAGAGAAAATGATAAAAAAACAAAAAACAAAAACAAAATAAGAGAGAGAGGAGGATCCTGGGCGGCTAGGACCTCTATCTATAAGAAGGGTATCGGAATTCGGGAGCAACCTCTTGCCCCCTGGCATCTTTTCCCTCATTTTTTCTTTTTTTTCCTTTTCTTTCTGTATTTTTTATTTCTACTTTTTTATATTTTTGTTTTTTTCTTCTATTTTTATTCATTTATTTGTTTCTCTTTTCTTTAAATTGATCCCTTTAAATTTATCTTTTTTTCTTAATCAACTTAATTTTTAATGGAATAATTCTATTATAAACAACATTATAAATCTATATCAGCTCTATTAAGGAGCAATTTATTTATTTTAAAATTCTTCCTCCAAAAACCCTAATAAGGTCTCTTGTATTAAAAATCCTATTTTTCTTATTTATCTCTAAATTTCTAAATTAATTCACTAGATTGATGATTTTAAGCACCTTACATATAGTTTTTGTATTAATAATACAAGTGAATCAATTGTGTGACTCACACATTCTATTCCAAAAAACTTTTAGCAACCAATATCAACTACAAGATCTACAATAAAGAACTTTTTATAATTATGTATTCATTTTAAGAATGGCGTCATTATCTAGAAAGTACTTTCAAACTAGTCAATACATATATGGATTATGAGAATTTCAAGTATTTCATATCAATACCTATTTTGAATTATTACTAAGTTCATTGAAGCATGTTTTTATTAAGATTTGATTTTAAGCTCACTTATCAACTAGAAAAATAACAAGATTTATTAAACACCTTTTGTAGACATTCTTATCTTATTTCAAAAGAAAGAGATGAAACTTTTGATTAACAAAGAAGAATCTTCTTAAAGCCAAAGCAATTTCATCTTCAAGTAATAAAAACAATGTTGACTATTGATTCAACTTTTTCATGGAAGTTTAATTGAGTATTTTTTTTTTATCTTCTTATTCATGATACTAAAATAATTCTTTTAAGTCTCATGATACTTTGAAGTTTGAGTTTAAAAATAATCTACTTTATTTTGAAAGATGCTTATATGTTTCAAAAGGCAAAGCATGATTACGTGTTATTCAAGCTTATTATAACTTCTCAATAGCAAGATATTTTGGATACAATAAGACTTTGGAGCTAATATCTAGAGATGTCACAGACATATGCATGTAAGCCAATAATTACTTATATAAATAGGTAGAAGTAAGTAGAAATAAATTAATTCTATAATATCTTCTATGGAAGCTTTTTAGAAGTTGCATAGATGCTACTTTGACTTTATAGGTATTTTTAATTGACTTTTTGGATTAGAAACATAGTCAACAAGTTGGCCATGTGCCATACATGTTGTTAGCTTGAAGACCAAGCTAACTATGTGGCCTATATGTAGAAAAACTTGTCTTGTAAGTTAAGGCATGTGTCCTACAAAGTCAACACATATTGGAGGTTCTATAGAACATCGCCACGTAGCCTTTAGTTAGTTAGTATATATAGAGACAAGAGTGAAGCCCTCTTCACTCTTGTCAATTTCTTTCTTGCTTCTAGTGTAGTTTCAAGAGTCTCAAGTTTTCTTGTCTTTTGGCAACAAGCCATTCCAGTTCCTTTTTAATATACATATTTCTTTATTTTTATTTTATTATTCTTTCTTTGACATGGATTTCATTGTTTTATACATCATCTTTTAGTTCATGTCCTTGACAAGAGATTTTTTGTGGCCTCAAATATAGAAGGCAATTAAAGACTTTGTATAATTACATGATGTTTGTTTAAGTTCAAAAATTCCTTATCATCAACTTTATGAATTTTTTTAGCCATTACCAATATTCAAACAACCATAGTATTTTTTTTCTATAGATTTTATTATAAATCTTTTAATTTCAAGTTCATATAATTTTATATTTGTGATTTTAGATCGTTTCATTAAGATGGCACATTTTATATCATATAAAAAATCTATCATCGATGAAGAAATAGCTAAACTTTTCTTTGACAATATTTATTAATATCATAGGTTGCTAAAGAATATTATATCAAATAGAGGGACATAATTTGTACCACAATTTTAGAAAATTCTTTTTAAGATATTGAATGTAGACATAAAACTATCTTTTGCTTTCCATCTTCAAATTGATGGACAAATAAAACAAATGAATTAAGTTTTGAAGCAATATTTCAGATATACCATCAACTACCATTAAAATGATTAGATAAATCTTTTTCTATTGGCAAAGTTTGCTTCTAATAACATGATATATTCCTACACTTAACAAAAAAACTTCTTTGTTAATTATGGTTTTCATCTACAACTTGATACTTTTGACTATTCAAAAATTTATAATCTTTCAATATAAGATTTGATAAATTATTTATCAAAGCTATATGCAACAATAAAGACTCAATTAAAGAAAGCTTAAGAACAACAAAAGATTCATTCAAATCCCTATTATAAGAAAAAATCTCAATTTTATGTGGATAATAAAAAAAAATGATTAGTTTCTTACATTTTAAAGAGTACTTGCGCTTATAATAAGTTGGATTATTATAGACTTGGATCATTTCTTGTTTGTGAACAAATCAATTTAAATACTTATTGATTACAAGTATCAAAATTTATGAAGATCCATCCTATATTCTATATGTTTCTTCTTGAGTCATATAAGATAATAGATATATCAAGAAGAAGATAAATGCTTCTTCTTTCTATAGAAGTAGACAATATTCAAAAATATGAGGTCAAAGAAGTCTTAGATTCAAGGTGGTGCCTAAATAGATTGAATTATCTTATTCATTGGCATGGATATGATGTTGATAAACGCATATGGAAGCCAACCAAAAATCTTGCAAATACAACAAAGAAGATTGATGCTTTTCATCAACAACATTCATCAAAACCAAGATGAAGCATAGGAAATCTTTATTATAAAAGAAACAAAGATTAAAAAAGATTGCATTCTACCTTGTATTATTATTTGTAATTTCTATCTATTTGTAGTATTAAGGAGATGGAGAATCAAAAACAAACAGATTCAACTCAAGAACTATTATTTGCTGAATTATCAAAACAAGATACTATAATTGTCACAACCTTCAAGATGATGTAATAGAGATGAAGATCCTTAAGCCAATATATTCTTTATCAAATAGATGGTAAAATACAATATGTTTGATATCACAACCTTAGAAAAGACTTCCAAAGTTTGGCAATATTATTGGAAGTAGGAACCACCTTTGATTATATAACAGACATAACTGTTTCTTAAAAATAAATCCTTGATGAATATCTGATATAACTTCTTTTTAAATTTTTTTTTAAAAACTATTAGAAGTGTTGAATTGAAAATTTTATTAAACACTAAAATTGAACTTATTAATTAAACAACAATATAAATCTTTAATACAAGTCATTATAAAATTTTGAATATATCAAATTTACCAAATCAATCAAAGTTTTTTGAAATAGCATAATATTCATAAGTTACAATCTAAAAAACATTATATTCATATAATTACGTGGTATTATTATAGTTGTATATTATAAGCACATCTTTTATTTACAAGAAATTTCTTTTATTTCTATTTGATAAGAAAAAAAACTTTTATCAATCAAGCTCTAGTTCTTTATTGCATAATCTTATTACAAAACACATTAAAATCAGAAAAAATATTTTTGAGATAAATAAAATTTTAGAAATAAAACTCAGTTTGAAAATGCGACCCACATGAATGTTCATGAAACACGTGTCGTGTTCTCATTCGTTCAGACTCAAAAGGGTGGCCAAGCTTTCAATGCTACGCAGCGTGAGTTTGACAGGAGAGAAAGAGAGAGAAAGTGATAGAGATAAAGAGAGATAAACAGAAAGAGATAAAGAGAGAGAGACTGAGAGAAAGAGATTAAGAGAAAGAGAGAGAGACTGAGAGAACGAGATTAAGAGAAAGAGAGAGACTGAGAGAAAGAGATTAAGAGAAAGAGAGAGACTGAGAGAAAGAGATTAAGAGAAAGAGAGAGACTGAGAGAAAGAGATTAAGAGAAAGAGAGAGAGACTGAGAGAACGAGATTAAGAGAAAGAGAGAGACAGAGAAAGAGAGAGAAAGAGAAAGAGAGAGACAGAGAAAGAGAGAGAAAGAGAAAGAGAGGAATCGAGAATACGGCGAATGAAGAATTTGGGAGAGGGACACTGTCTCTCGGGAGTGAAGGCATTGAAGAAAGAAACGCTTCGGGATTTTGCGATGCTGGAATGTATTTGGCAGGTGAAGCTGCAATGCGATGGTGAGGACGGTGCGTCGTAGCCGAAAACAACAAGAGAGGCAATTGCTCAAGGAGAAGGAGGTGGAGGAAGAAGAGTACAAGGAAGAGTAGAGAGGAAGTGGTATCGTTTAGGGTGCGATGGTGAAGGCCATGCTGCTGCCAGCTCCGGCCACGGCGCTGGGACAGGGTGTGTCTGCGCTGCTGGACCAGCTGGAGCGCCACTGCCTCGCGCCAGATGCGTCGCTCGTCTCCAAGCCTGCCTACCTCGACCTTCTGCAGGTGTGCGCTATGTTTTACTGTGCAATTGTATTTACCGTATTTTGAGATGTTTCGAGATTTCGAGATTATCGAATTTGTTGAAGCCATGGTGCCATCGATGGTAATCTTACGGTCGCTGATTGTGTGTGCGGTATTTGTAGGCTCGAGAAGAGATGGCGCGCGAAAGATTGCGGTACTTGGAGGCTCTGGTGAATAGATTTAATGCGTGTCTGTTTTGTTCGTTCGTTTGTTTGTTTGTTTCCCTATTTGGCAATGCGGTGTTGTTTACAGCAATGCTGGGGTTAGTGTGAGGTGGAGCTGGATCAAGTGATGTGTGTTTTTGTGCGGTGATTTTGTTCCTGTAGGCTGTGTACGGGGAGGCAGTGGCTCTTGTGGAAGAGTATCAGCATGCCCTGTCTATTGCTAATGTTGGCGGCATTCGTGATTTGAACACGGTTTTCGACCAGCTTGGTCTTCGATCATCACCGCAGGTAGTCGCCAACTGCATTTTTTCTGCCTTTCCTCCTTACATGCCTTCAATGAGGAAATGCTTACCGCAAGCAATTCGGATCGGTTTGAATCTTAAGGAGCTACGAACAGTTGTTTTGGTTGAAGCTGATCGTAACTCCTGTAAATACGCTGTTTTTGGTCTCAGGTGTATGATGCCCTAGAGCAACGATTGGTTGTGGCAGAAGCAACGCAGCGCTTGCGTCTGCCATTACTGTCAAAAGACGGGGATCTTCCTGAGGACGACAACCAAGAATGGGGTAATGTATCTAGAAGCTCATTTGATAGCACCACCACCAGTCTCAGTCTGAGCACGATCACATCAGTTCATACTACTACTGCCAGCACTGCAAGTGCTACCATTGCATCTGGAGGGGGTAAGGAGCCCGAGACCGTGGAGCCTGGAGTAGGAGGGGTCGTGAATCGCTTCTTAGGGATCACACCAGCGTGGTTGCGACAAACTCATCTCATTCGCGTACCTTTCGCAGATGTGAGTTGATATTTTACTTCTTTAGAACTTACTAACTATTGTTTTAAATCATTTACAGCTTTTCTCTGCAGTCTGTCAAAGTGTATATTCAGTCTATTTCATTGAGGCTTAACTTCTGTTTCATGATGACAGGATAACACAGGATACCAGATGACACTTATACCTGAAATAGAAGCACGTTTGAAAGCCAAGTGTGACAGACTCGTATCTGCTTTTGAGACAGATGAAACTGGTGAGCTCCACATTCATACAATCTCAAGCTTCTTGCTGCTGGCGTTGACTTGGTGTTTTGGCCGTTTGGTTAGATTTGCAATTTTTCTTCATTCATGTTGTGAGCTTCCGAACACATGCATTCAGTGACCTTGCAAGTCTTGTTGAGATTTCTTTTCCGTCGCTTTGGTACTATATATTTGTTCTTAGAATTTAAAAGTAGTATGGTCTTAAAGGTTTTTTCTTGATATGTTGTTGCATTAGGCGTTGCAGACAGTGCCGGCCCAACTTTACGACTCCCAGAGAGGTGTGTAATTCTTAGTTACTTGTTGCTTTGAGCGTAGTTCTCTCGAGCGTTTTTAATGCTATAAACTTATATAAAAGGTGAAGTATGCAATTGTGAATTTAAGTAGCTGTCTGCTTCAACTTAATGTGTTATACCGTCGCAGGGTCAAAATTGCAGTTGAAGACATCGAAGCAGAGGAAGCAGCCTTACTTGAGGACTTGTATGCAGCCGACCGGAAGTTTTCAGAGTATTATAATGTAAGTAAACGGTTTGAAAATTTTCGAACTTGCACGAGCTTTTTCTCTTGACGTTCATCGCGGACATTGTGCAGCAGAGTTGCTGCGAAAATGTCCCTCATGACTAGGATTCTTTTTCAAGCAGCAGAACTAGTTCTCTAAAACTTGCAAACGTGTGTGTGTGTACATTCAAGGTGCTGGAACAGATACTTGCAGTCCTTTTACGGCTGGTTAAAGAGTTCAAACTTCAACACCAGCATGACTATGTAAATATATCCTCTTACACATGTATCTTCCTCGTTATCACTTTGTGAATGTGAAGCATGCCTCAAAACTATGTCGGATTTGAGATCGAATGTTATTATTGCACTTACTCCAACTGTTGTACGTGGTAGGATGGAATGCGGAAGCAATGGCTGTGCAAACGGTGCCAAACAATGAACGCAAAACTTAGGTAAGTAGCTGCTTCCTAATTTTATTTCTGGTGTTGTCATTCTGTGGATCTGTGATGTCCCTTAGCACATTTATAATAATAGATAGCTCCTGCAGCTGTTTTGAATTGTACACCGCTTATTTGGAAGTTCATTACTTTTTCATGCGGTTGTGAAGCGAGTTCTCTGTTCTGGTCATTACCCTACTTCTAAACGATAGCATTTTTCGCTGTTGCACAGAGTGTTAGAGCATCTTCTTTTGCGAGATACGTACACCCAAGAATCTATTCCTGCTCTGCACAAAATCAGGTATGATACGATTGTATATGGCAACGGCGCAACTTAAGGACAGAATAGCCACCTTAAATGTGCCAATTATCGAAGGTTTGAAGGGTTGCGTCGCAATTGCTTGGAGTTTCATGTCTGAAGAGATGGTTTTGTTATCGGCTTCTGCCATCTGAGAGCGTAATATTTTCATTGAATTTCAGACAACATCTGGTGGAGGCGAATGAAGAGGCAACGGCAGCTTATAATAGAGCAGTAAACTTCAAACCTGCTTGGTTGTATGCTTGTTACATGAGTGCCTGTACAAGATCAGAACATTTGAAAGGCTTTTTAAACAACTCTTCTGTTATTCTACTTTTATTGGCTTTTCCCTTACAATTTTGTATGTGAGAGGCCCCCTGTAATTCACACATTCTGAAATTTTTCTCTTGTTATTTAAGTGAGTTTAAACGAAGCTATTCTTGTTGATTTTTCTTGTAGGTAACAAGACTCCGTGAGTACCAAGGAGTAGATCAGGACTTTGATGAAATTGCTAGGCGATACCATGACCTTGTAACTGTAAGTAATGATTTGGCTTTTGGATGCTTTCTCACTGCTTTAATAACATACTCTCAAGAGCATTTTGTAAATTGCGTGTTAGGTGATGAGATGAAAGTTGAAGTTAACTTGTCTACAGTTGGATTTAGAATACGAGTTTGATAATATCACAAAAGGAGATGCATTGACGATCAGTTGCAACTACTGTGCAGAAATTGGTAGGCATCCAGTGGACCATTCGGGAAGTTGAGAAGGACCTCAGTAACCCTCACGAACACCCTGATCACTGAAGGGTCTCAGCTCAATGTACAGCTTTGCGCCAGATTTCTGGGCTAATACTGTTTCATGTTGCAAAAAAAATAAAATATGCTTGACTGGTGATTTTCGATGGATACTCCCGATGATAGATACTTAATTTTTAGTGTTGGTGGAGTACCTGAATATGTGTCCCTCTACTCTCAGCATCTCAACCTTAAAGGGGATGTTGCAAGCTTTCCACTTGTCCTGGCTAAGTCTTCGGTAGCAGTAGCTTTTTCATTTGTGTCCCACCTTAGACGAAAGTCATGACGAAAACAGCACATCAGATGAGCTCTCATCCTTACAACCCTTGACTTTTTTAAGGGGCTATGTCTTGGCTGAATTGGCTTAAAAGTACTTGCTGTTACTGCGTAGTGAAATTTTAGTGTTAATGATCTAGCCCAGACACTTGAGCAAGCTAGGTGTGTAAAAAGTTTGGACATAGATAAGTTGTAAGCAGTTGGAACCATATTCAAAGAGTAGAATATTAGTCGATCATATGCAACTTTGTTTTGAACTTTAAAGATTTTTAGTTTTTAATCTATAATTTGAGATTTTTGAGGATTTGTATTAAGTTAAGAATGGATATCAGAAGAAGCTCAAGATCGTATTAGTATTCTTGAGTTTCTGTGAATGTATTTTCACTTTCATGCAAGACTTGAATGAAGATACAATTTTTTAGTGAAATATTTTAGAATTTTTAAATTATTCTATAAATTGTAAAACTTATCTAGCCCTATATGAATTCTCTTTTCCCCATTTAAAAATGATGAAAATTCTTCCTTACTTTAAATTTTTTGTTAAAAAATATTTAAAAAATAATTATTCTTAACCCTCTCCCATCTTCTCTCCTTCCATGCTTGTTGTTCATGTAGCAAGTAGGAAATAGAGTAGGAGGCAAAATCTAGTGTCAAAACTGGACTTGCTACAAATGATAATGTGTTGGGTAGTATTTATCTGTGAGCATAATTAGGAGATTATTTTAAAAAAATCAAATATGTGTAACAAGTGCCTATACTACTTAAGTAGTAAAATTAGAAATAGAAATAAATAAAAATTAGTGGACATTAGTTAAATAAATAATATCTTTTTAAGAAGCTTTGAAAAACTTTTCTAAATCCAAAAAAGAAATTTTTATTTTTATATTATTTGCAACAAATATTCAAAAAAAAAATTGCTTTTCAGTTGTCTTATCAATTTATTATCATTATATCCCTTATGTTTAATGGACAGGCTCTTCTAATGTAGGACATTAGGAACCTTGCTCTACTTTGTGTATATAGGGCACAACTTGTCCTATATTAAACTCAATATAAGACAAATGAATGTGATTGACGAATGTGGATAGAGCTACACAAGAGGGATAGCTTTGCATTTGAAGCTGTCTTAAAATTATCAACTTATAGATATGAATATAAAAATTATTCTCTTAATTAAGGACACAAGTTTTGTTGATTCCATGACAAATATCCTTCATTAAAAAAATTGTCCTACATTAGAAGACGTTCCAAGGGAGGTCAATTTCTGAAATCAGAAATTTCTAGTATACTCAATACCAATTGCAATTTGGTACATTACAATTTAGCTGAATCCATCTACCTTTCTGATTCTTCACTAAACTACTTTATAATATTGGCCATGAGAACTAATTTGATGAAAACTAACCTGTTAAATTCACAATTTTCCTTTCCTTTTTTCTGTAGGACAAAAATGAAATGTGATTTCTGTAGCAAACTTTACAAAAAACCTGCAACACCTAAGACCTCAGAATTCACCTTCATTTGTCTCGTATCCAACCTGGAAGGAATTTTGACTGACCGTGTAGGAGAACATAGTATATTTGCAAGTAGGATGGTCAACACCACCAGGAAAATTTTATAGATTGTAAAAATTTCGAGATCACTTTGACCTCCTAACTATAACATTAAAGCACTAAAGCACCGACTGATTCCGAAGGACCCAAATAACCTCTATAACCCACTCTTAATTTTCATCAGATAAATCATGCAGGGCATGAAATATCTTTTCCTAACCCTAAAAATAAACGAAGGAAAAACGCTTCGGTGATTCAAGCATTCTCCTTAACTTTCGTACAAAGCCATACTCACTGGGTACTCTAAGGACAATCTCAATGCACCAATTGTTAGAATAACACAAACCCTAATCAACCCATACTGGCTGCTCGTTGTGCAGCAGTAGCTCAGAGCTGGCTGCATAGTTGTAGGGCGAATCGAGCACCCATCCTTTTAAAAAAAAAGCCACCTCGTACACCTTAACCTAAGGCTTAATTCGCGTCAGGTGAAACTAACAAACACAGACAAAACTGTCCCCGCAGCTTGCCAACTATGGAACTCATGAAATCATGCCACTTTAACTGCGGAAGCTCCTTTCGCTAATCCCAGGTTTTGTGTTTGGGGCGGTTGATCTTCTTGGAAATCCTCCTGCAATACAAATATTTGTACTTTGTAATTATATCACTGAGACACGACGGAAAGAAGTAATATCAGCGCATTATGGGCTGTTTAGTGAAGAATCGACGGGGACAAGAGAAATCATATAGGGCTAGATAATACCCACAGCTAACTAAAGTGAAATCATGCCAAATACTTACCGGATTGTAAACCACGGTGATGTAAAGGGAGCAGCTGGGGCAGCGGGCAATGTCTTCGCCAATTTTCAGTTCAGCCTGCAAGAAAATAGATTCTCCAAAGATCAAAACAGCGTCAAAATCATTAGCATCACAACCTAATTCCTCTTAAGTGTTTCAACAAGTCATGATTATTTATATCTGTGTACAATCTCAAAAGACGGTAGAGTACGGAAACCTATTGCCAAGGGTCAGACGAAGATATCCTTCAGTGACTCATACACACAACCCACAACCGCAGAGACTCTGGTATACACCATAAATTCCTAGAGCTCATATCTTATGTGCAAGGAGTGATTCTCGTGAAGCCGAATCGGTTTGTACAAATCTTTTGCAGAGAATTCGCATAACAGAGACGAAGTCACCAAAATTAACAATAGCCTCACAGAAATTAGGGTTTCAATTCGCAAGTAGACTAAACCCTTGAAACTCCCGTCCAAAATTGACCTGACAGATATCCAAACACACCTTCGTAATCTGGAAGAGGTCACCACAGGGGCAGGGGTATGTGAAAGCTTGAATCTCGTCGTTCCACTCCATATCCTCGATTTCCACATCGTCGTAAGACATTTTGACACAGCTCGGCAGAGGCCCGGATATCGCAGCTTCTGCCCCAAACCCCTAACCCCCAACTCTTCTGAAACACGAGGAACCTAAGCCGGCGAAACGTGAATTGAAAGGGCCGATTCGTTTCCTGCTCTAGCAAGCACCTCTCTCGTTGCGTGGAATGGCTGCCAGTGGGCGGTCACTTGAAATAACGGCGGTAGGTTGTAGAACCAATTCACACTTTACTTTAACTTTTGATGCTTAACCGTCTCTTGATTCTACATCTACTTTACTTTGGTCTATTTGGTGTTTCGTTCCCTTCACCCTAACAAGAAGGGAATTTGCGTGAGAGTTACGGTTTGGAAACTAACGTTGATTATTTCTTCTTGATTATGGCTGTAAAAAGTATACGAATCTACCTAAAATAGTAATAATAACTAGATACTTACAGGAAATTGTAATGATTAGCCTGTGTATAAACGACGAACTTTCAGATCCTGGTACCGATTTCGCAACGCAGATGCTAACGAAGCAAGCAGCTATAAATATTTGGTGCCTAATATTATCTTCATCGATGTTATCAGGGGGAGAAAATCTTAGAAAAGTAATTTCAGTTAAAAGCACACGATGATCAGAGGAGGTGATAAGTACGAGGCAGAGTAATGCTCTTGAAGGAACAGGCCCCCAACCCTCAGAAACAGATCCAGGTAAAAGGGGAGAAAAACCATAACCCTGCAGCTTAGTGGTCTCAGTAACATTGCAGATAAAACAACCCACATACGTAGCTTGGTGTCACAAACTTGGCAACTTTTATATCAGGAATTGGACTGTACAAGAGAATGTTGAATAAGGAATTGCATGCTCATGGCAGGATTCTGCAGTTAAAAAATGAGCGATGATTTCAAGGTTTCAGCACTCCCTCAAGTAAATCTAGATTCAGTCCTGTATACTTCCGCTACTAAATCTAAATTGCGGTATCCATGTTAACACCGAACTCTTGGCTTACATTAGTGGAAGCATGACGGAACACCAGGTCACTGGCGCTGAGATTGAGCAACTGCTCCACAAGGCAGAGACTACTTGGTAACGAATCTCCCCGCGATTCTAATGTCAGATACCTATGAATGATATAGCTACAGCGCCTACATCGAAGCTAGAGTGAAACGGAGAGACTTGTCAACAGTTTGAGGGTATCTGACTTTGTGAATTCATATCAATGTTTGATGTAATCATTGAAAATCAATTATTGCCATAGATTACAATTCAACAATCTATTTAGGTGATATAGTTGAAGCAACGCCTATTTTTCTTTAGATCCTTCCTCCAGTGCATTCGATATTTCAACTTCCAACTTCCGCGATGCAAGGCACCAGGTGTGGAAACAATTGATAAGGTTAGGCCAATCAGACTGAGACATAGCATATGCTTGCAACCAGGTGGACAGAACCTGTTCCTGATCCATCTCCGGCAAAGCTGAAACAAGTCGTTCCAATTCTCTCTCAGCATTTTCTTTCTCCTGAGAGCTGAATATGGGACCATCACCACCATGGTTTGCGTTGCACAGAAGAGGTAACCATGTAAGTACCAACTGGAGACATGTTTCTCGTGGAAACTTTGTGTTCCCAAGCAAGTCTTTACAGAGTAGGGCTGCAAAGAAAACGTCCACTTCGTCATCTTCTGAGCATTGATAATGAGAAAAATCCTATGAGCTAAAATACACTTGCTTGCGATTGCCAGAAAAAAGGAACCCAAACTCTGTATACGTACACAATGCTGAAGGGAGGGCCAAGGTAATAAAAAGGTATACCCGAGAGCCGGACAAGATACATTTGAACCCTGGGAGAAGCACACAAAGCAAGCTCCGCAAGAGATGATTCTGAACTCCACTGTTGAGCAGCTACCTCTGTCCCACTGCAACCTTGCAATTTCTCCGCAATCCACAGAAGCTCTCTGGCAAACTTCACGGCAGTGTCGGGATCTGATAAATTCGCAAGAAGCACTGCTTCATTACGAATATGCCCTGGAGTCCACGAATTGAACGGAGGCAGAATATGTGCGATGAGTGTTTGAATATTAGCTAATGGTCTCGGAAAGGTCGAAATTGGAAATATACCCCCAGAAGGAAGATGGCTGACCAGTCGACTGCGCATCCACCGTCACAGATTAATCCAACGAACTTCAAGCGCTGGAGCATTTTCTCCAACCATCCAAAGGAACGGAAAAGCTAATTCCCTGACAGCATCCAAGCGTGCGACAAGTTCCTCATACTCAAAAGCCATGTGATCCTGTAAACTAAACGGGCTTACAACTTACCCAAAAAACGAGTAATGCTGTCGGCGACTCTCCAAAGACTGCCCAAGGAGGTTAATTGTCCGGGCGAACCCTTTTTGTAGTGCAGCCTGGTTAATTGCGTCATACTTAACACCTTCAACCTTATTTTCCTCCACCACTCTGTCAGTCAAATCTTGAAGGAAGGCGTACTTACTGGAGGATGACGGTACATCGTTCACTAGGGTCAACACCTAAACAAACCCAAACATAATGGAAAAATAAAAAAAACAAAAACAAAACTAAATCCCCCAATTCGTAACCATCCAATTCCGCAAAACACTTGCACACACACACACACATATATGTACACAGATTCGCACCATAAAGAAACACATCAAACGTCCATACGTGTGAGAGTGCACGCCCAATAGGATTCTGCGACACCGCAGGGACACGACAACGCCTATCTCCTCCACGTCCGCTCTCCCCCCATCCAACAGTCCTCCTCGCAACAACAGAAGGATCCCACTCCTTCCCGACCGCGCTGGTCAGTTTCTGCAAGGCGCTGGTCAGGTCAGGCACGGGCACGAGAGACCCCAAGAGAACCAGAACGAAATTGGCACAGCACGCCAGCATCCACAGCACCAGCATGCACGAGGAATACAACTTATGCGAGAGCCCATGGCGGCGGGTGTCCAGCTCCTCCTCCACTCCGCTCCCACCCACGCGACGCAGGGTCGGAATCCATGGCAGGGCTCCGCCGTGGTAGCCCTCCCACGAAGACATTTCTCCGCCGCTAGCCATGGAAACTACTAAAGGAGCTCGCCGGCGATGGCGACGACGCTGCAGGACCACCGCGAAGGAGGACGAAGGAGGAGAAGTAGTAAGTGGTGTGAGGAACTGGCCTTCTTAATGTGATCTGCGTTTCTTTCAAGTGAGCTGTGTTGTCTTGGTTTCATCATCCCAGAGGGAGTTGGAAGTTTGAATACAGACCGGAAAGAACGATGCGCGTCTCTCTCTGTCCCTGGTCGTCGTTTCGTAACTTACTAACTGTCTAACTGACTAACTAACTCGGGTTTGACAGCAGTGCGGCGGCATCTTCATCTATGTTGTCTTGGATGAACGAATGCCCATCCTGCTGTGCTCTGTTCCTCTTTATAGTTGTATATATATATTTTAATTACAAGAGGATTTGGTGTACCTACGTGCTTTTTAATTAGGAAATTTAATATTAAATTAATTTATAATAAAATATTAATTTATAGCATTGAATGACAAAAAATTTTAATATTTAGAATTATTTTGTGCATGTAAATAAATATCAAAATTACAATGTATATTGATTTTATGTATATGATTTAAAATAATATAAGATGGTGTTATTTTTTAAAAAATTAATATAAATTATCTAAAGATAAATAAAAAACTTTTAAAAATGTATATATATATATATATATATATATATAATTTTATATATATTAAATTGTTGTTTAAATGGACAGCAAATAATTAAGACATGTTGTCCCAAAACTTTGACAGAATGTTACAGTGGGTTGATTTAAGTTTAAGATGGGCCAATTTAATATTCCTCGATATATATACTTATTTTATTTTATTTTATTTGTTCTTATTCTTTTAATTTTTTTTGATATTGGTAGTATTTACTCTTGTAGACATTCATATGAGATAAAATAAATTTTAATTTACATTTAAGAATTTGTATCTATTAGTGTTTTGGAAGCAAAAATTAAAGATTTAGTGAATCCATTGTGCTAAAATGACATTCTACTTATGTGATATGCTATTGACTTCTGATGGTAATCTCGATAGGCTTACATGCAACACATTTGTACAATAATTTAATTGGATGTTTTATTGTACACATGTGTTGCATGCACAGAATAGTGCCAAGTGATTATTGCTACAATTTTGAAAGTGTTGTTAGATAGGATTGAAAATAGTGATTTAAATGTTTTTGGTATTTTTTTACAATTTTTATGATTATTATTATTATTATTATTATTATTATTTTGTGATTTCTCATATAATAAATTCTGAAATCAATATATTGCTTTGTAGGCTGTTGAGATAGAACACGCATTTTTTTTGCAAAAATCATTAAAATACAACAAAAAGAGAAAATAAATAGGTAAATCATAAACATAAAAATTAATCATTTGAATGTACCCATTCACAGCTCAAATTGACTTCTTTAATGTGTTTTATTTTTGTACACATATAATTCATAAGTCACATAATTCATTCTTACAGAACATCTTATTAAGAGAATTCAGGTTTAAGGTTTTCGGATGATATTTCACCCATGATGATATCCCAAATTATCTAGTGATATTTTAAAATATCTTCTTCCTTCCTGTTGACAATTGTAGTCTCAATTCCTGATACAGTTTTGCTGCATTCATCACAATTTTGCAGCTGTCTTTGCATTCACAGCAACTGTGCCAACAAGAGAAACGAAGAGGACATGTGAAGGAGAGTGAACAATCCTCACAAATATTGCAAGACTGGTGCCCATGTGTGTTTTTATTATTGGCAAGTTGGTTTCCATGGCGGATCGCAGCTAGTCTGGTGCTCACTCATCCACAGCAACAGCCCTCAATCTCAGCCTTACCTGGTCAAAACCGTTATTTTTTTGTCCTATGGTTCAACTCCGGTGCACATCGGAAATGAACTCAAATCGTCATATTCACAAGTGTCGGTGGTGTCGGAACCTATGGCCTCTTCCTGTCGATAGTACCTAGACTACAAATTTTTGTACACAAATGATGTCATGTGCAGGATGTGTAGTGTTGTTGGGTTTTCTTTTACAGCTACAGATACTCTTGCTCGGATATCCAGAAGTGGGTCGTGTGTGGAAGTAAATTCTATTGTACATTTTTATATGCAAGCAACTCACGGCATTTGGTTTTTGATGGACGTTCTGTACTTGGAGTCTTGGAGGAGCCGATGTGCACAAGGTGCCAGTTGAATGGGATAACAGGAGCGGTGTGTGATGCATTTCTGCGTCGAAGGTGATGAGTTGATTGCAGGAGTGCAACTAGAGGTCGAAGCACACAGAATGGAAGTGGAACTGTGCTCGCCGATTTCGGAAGTTCTGGGAGCGACACTCCGAGGCAGCGCTTTCTTGAAGGCCTTTAGGGCCACAGATGAGGACTCCGATCTCCTCCCCGTCGTGTTTCGTTGCAGCAGTCTCGAAGATCTCTGCACAGTTTTGAGACCCATCTTTGAGGTGGATGCTAAGTTCTTATTTGGCTCTTTGAAAGAAGACAGTGAGCAATGTGGAAAGTGTAATCAATCGGAGGTGACATAGGCACAAGGTTTAGGGTTAAGCTTAGACGGAACAAACCTTGGAATGGAGGTCGGGAGCCTTTGATAACTGTACACATGTCTTCTAATGTTGCAGGCTGAGATTCGACATCCATGCGCTCTTCTTTCACTGGATCTGTGGCAGAGACGATGGTTGAGCTATTTCGCGAGGACGATGACCTTGGGACGATGTAGCTCCGTGCGGGGTTCCAAAGCAGAAGCACGGCACCCCCACAGACCACAATACCCACGAGGGTACTGATGAAGAAGAGCAACACATCGAGGGTTAAAGAAAACGGACTTTCGGGAGAATTTCTAGGAGTGTACACGTATAGGTTGAAGAGCCCAGACATCAGGACAAAGCCTGCAACCGATGCAAGGATCATGGCCACCATGAAGAGGTTTTGGCTAGATGTGGTCGGAATCAAACTCGACACGGCGTCAACGTTAGATGCACCCTTCGATGGATCCCCTTTGTCGATGCAGGTGTCTTCGAACTTAAGAACTTTGGAGTCGAATTGCGTGTAGTCGTTCATGGCTTCGTTGCGAGTCACAAAAACTTCCACTTCGAGGTTTAGGCTCTTGTTGCCGCCATTGGCGAGGCTGGGGCAGATCAAGGCAGGGCGAATGTCGCGAAGAATGCAGAGCTCGGAAATACACCGGACGGACCAGATCACTCGCACAGATAGCGGCAGCTTCTCCTGCTTGAGCTGATGCCGCTTCAGTAGGTCGGTGAGGATTGCAAGGAAGGGCGTGATGCCAGTCCCACCTGCGACCAGCAAGAGGTGCTTGTACCTAACACAACAAGTGTGGAACAGGTTACGTGGAGGAACTGGAGGAGGAAATCGAAGTTTCTACAAGCGAGCAAGTAAAGAAAGAGAAATTATCTGCTGAAGATGGAGCTAAGCCGTTGGAGCTTCATTTGGAACTTTCAATAGGCGACATGAAGCGATGAATAGAGGCGAATAGGGACGAAAGATACCTGAGAAAATAATCTGACTCATGACCGTATGGACCTTCGGTGTACAGCTTCAGCGCGAAGGGGCATTCAAGTTTGGGGTCCATTGATAAGGAGGCTAAATTGTCGAGAATGGCGGAGTGGAGGCTATACGTCCAGTCACCTAGGGGCTTGATACATATCGAAATTGTGTCTGAGATGTTGAGGGAGCTGGATGCACTGCTAAAGGGGTGCCATTCCAGGCGCGAAATCCCAGGTACGTTGATGTACATGAAGCTTAATGCGTTGTACTCAAAACCTGTAAAGGACAAAGAGCCTTTCACATTAACTAAATTGAAGGCCACGACTCTGAGGATTGTATGCCGACACCTGCAGGTCAATGGTTCAAATAAGTACTTGTTGGTAAATTTGAACGCACCTTGTTGAATGGGGATCTTGAGCTCCACTACACCACTCGGCAGCACCTGCGCTGTTACGCCAGTTATTCGTTTCTGAGACTGCACAAACCTCAGGAACCTGTCGATGAAGAAGAGAAAGATGCCGCCTATACACTTGCCCATGTTTCCTTTGCCAACATGCCACGCGTAGAACACGAACAGCACGATGTACAACTGGTGCGTGCCATAGAAGAAGTTGAAGAACCGGCTTCGTACCGGCGCCAAGGCAGTCACCCACATAATGACCCCAGCTGTTGCTCCAATCACACCGGGAAAATTCGAAATTCCCTCAGTAGAATACTTCCAGTCCATTACCTACAGGAATTCAGAACAGCGAGTTACTTCCGATGCTGCGAACACAGAGCAGACACACCAAGCAGGAATTATAAGCTCTACCAAATCAAGCAATGAGCGCAGATTGAATTGACGAAATTTTGGAGGGGCATCAAGACATACCATGTGAGTTTCATGCCTGGAGTGATAGTAGATGGAGTAGATGACGCCGTGAGTCGTAATTAGGATCATGGTCAAGTGACCCAGCCATCGGTGGTACCGCACGGCGTGCTCTGATGGCACATGAATCAAGCGCAGTATGGGCGACCCTCTAGTCACCGGGAGGAATAGCAGGGTCATTGCGAACGGGATCACCTTCCCGAACAGCTCTCCGGACTTGTCCAATTTCGCTTGCCATCTGTAGAACAGCGAGCTCTTGTTAATAGACTTGACGATAGCATTACCGGGAAATTTGGTCTTAAACCTAAATTGCATCTAAGACCAGCTCTTACGTGGTGGACCTTCGTGTTCCAATCAACACTGGCAAACTAAAATTCTTTGCACTCCTGGTTTAGATTCCGGAAGAGCTCTTACTTCTTTTCCAAGCCAGGAATCTCTTCGCCGTGGTTGATGCTGTCGAAGCGAGGTACAGTCAAGTTGGTGGTGAAGCACACGACGACGAAAAGCACAAGTCCTATTCCTAACAAGTCTATGCCTGTCAAAATACCAAGTGGGCTCCTCACCACCATCGGCTGCGTCCATAAATTCCTCGTGAAGCCGGCCCAGAGCCTGTGAAGCTTGGATCTTTTGACGTCGCTAATTTCTTCCCTGTTCAAGGGAACCAACAGTGATGCTCACTTTGTAAGACGACGCAACTAGAAATTCATTTTGTACTACTTGAAATCGTGCATCTTATCAAAATCGCTTTCCGAGTAAATGTATACCATCACTACTTAATTATTCGATCCATCGACTTCACAAGCACACTCTGCGTTGGCGGACCTTATTTCATGGAAGAGTTTCTAATTTCTGAATTGTAGGACCTAACAAGTAAGACACAATCATTCTGGCCCCCTTCCTCGACATGAACTCTCAATCAGCAAGCGAGAAGGTAAAGTGAAGGAACTTGTGAATTGGACAGAAGTTGGCAGTTGGCACTTACGACGGACACCTGGCGAGTCAGCCACGCTCAACTCACAAACCATCATCTCGAAAAATTTCGCAGTCTTTAATTGGGCTCATCGAATTCTTTTAGTACTAATCTCTACTAATCTTACAAGCTTAAGAATCCACCATGAAATTAATAAGCTAAAACCATGAAATTCTCTATATTTGTTGTCATCCACAACTCGTGGTTGGAAGTCTTCATCGTTGCATAGTAGGCAGACCCAGTGGTCAACTCCGTTCTATCTCCGAAATGAAGAACAAGTCCTACAGCTCGACTAAATTCAACCCTTTTGCACGCAGTAATAGTTATGGATTCAAGGTAGATGATGAAATGATAATTAAACTCGTTACTGAGTATTGAAGGAACTCAGACGATACGCAGCTGCGAACCATCATGCGGTCGAAATTGGTGATCGATGAACTAGAGAAGGAAAATCGCTGCTACCGCACACGGTGATCGCTCAAGATGTGGTTCCAGACTGTTTCTATCGATGATCACGAACAATTGATCGAGCTAGAATTTCAATTCTGAGATGATTGAAAATATGTAGGAATTGAATTGACCGAGCACTTGATAGAACTGCTCGCGAAGAGATTCCTGCACACAGTGAACTTCCAATTTCGAAATTGTGACGAGTTGGAGCAACCGCTCAGGAATTGACTTACTTCACCGGGAACCTCTTGGTCAACTCGAGGTAAAGCAAGGCAACGGTCGCCAAAGCAATCACCGGACATGCGTACATAACGTAGTATGTGGCTGCACAAATCACAGCAACCAGTTTCCACCTCATCAGATATCAGCTGCACAATTCGATCCACAGCAATTGACAGATGCTGAAACATACAGCCAAGGGTCGTCACCGGAGATCTCACAGCCGGTTGGCTTTGACGAAGTATTGTGTCACTGGGGAGGCTGACAGCTATCTGCTGACAACATTCAGTCCAAAGTCGCGGAGCTACCACCATGACTCACTCAACAATTTCATGCTCAATCCGAAATGTCTTCTAAAGCAAATTATGAGCACGCCGTGAAAGAATTATACCACTATCACCGAAGAAACTGGAAACGACATGGGTGGCGAGGTCCTGTTTGAAGTAGCTGCCGGGAGTAGTAGGATACAACAACCACAGCGCCACCCAGAACAAGGTCAAGGCCCATGCGGCCACCCGAAGACATATCCTCGCCGCTTCAACAACTATGGCATAATCTGCATCATGTCGATCACTCCGGGTACTGTCACCATGACTGAAGGGGTTCACTATCCTCATCGTGGTCTCGGATCTGCTGAAATCGAGGTGCGCAGACGCTTCCACCAAACTGGTTGCGAGGTTGTACAACTGCGGCAGCTTAAGGTCACATCTCAGTCCTCTGCAGGAGATCATGCATCATCTGCGTGATTCTGATGGGAGTCTGATGTCGATCGACTCCGTGACGTGGGTACGCATTGGGATCGGAGAGACCAATATGTATGACGGATTATGATCAGTAGATCAGGCTATGTATGGTTACAATTGACGATCCTCCTTTGCTGGATTTACCGTCACTAGATTCGCATATCTGGCTCCGTCGACAGCCATAATTGGAATCGAATCAAGCATAGGTGAGGCTCTGGGTTTCTGGATAATCTTTACTTCAGGTCAATCGGATTGTGGTGGTTCGTCGTCATGAATCCTTTTAGTGGAAGCTTCGAAATTCAGCTGCGAAATGAATGTTACCAAGATGACGTAGTATTCGCATATAAAGTTTCCAATTACGAATACCGAACTCAACGTCAAATGGATTCGTGTACACATGTTGAAGGTGATCACTGGAATTCCTTTATTGCAAAGTCACCTTCAAAGAGTTGATCAGAGCTGCGACACGTGAACCTACCGTATCATGACCTTTTCACTGAGTACTTCATCTTATGTAGGTGATCTTTTGGGTGAAGTCACGAGCAGAACTTCTAATGCTTAACTTTAATGACAAGGACCACGACCAATGTCAGCTACGGGTTTTTCTGATTCAAGTTTTACTCGTTGATACGGGGAAAAATGCCGTCGAGAAACTTTCCAACTCTCTGATTGAGTTGATGTCAGAATTCCAGACTTCCACGCTATCTGCATCGGAAAACTTTTTCAACTTCATTAGGGGAGGAGGGGGCTTGTTTAACAGTCCAACCGTCACACAATGACAGGCGTGTGCACATGGCCATAACCAACGAGCACAATGTAGCTCACTTGGAAATCAGAGCCAGTGATTGAGCTGCAATTAACCACAGCTTGAAACCCACTTAAACATCAAACACAATGGGAAGCTATTTTTTTTTGGGTAAGAAGTTACTGGTACGATAAAAACCCTTCAAGGCAGCTGTGCCGATGCCACAGAGTCCGGCAAGATTTCGGCATAGAGAAACTCTGGAGAGGGGGAATCTACAAAAAAAAATCCGGCTATTACGCTAACTTTCAAGAAACGCCGACTACCTGGTCCCGACGAAGGTGGGTGGCTGAACATGGCAATGCACACAAACAGTACCGATAGTTCGTGTACAATAAGTTGGCCATGCCTTTGGCCGCGACCTGCCAGGCAAGTTAGTCCCACTAAAGTCCACTTTGTTGACTCTAGATCAACTCCGGAGGTGATTCCTACCCCTGTAGGTCGACGCCCTTTTGACCCTGGTCTAAAAGCCATGAGCCTTCTCTTCTCCTCCCCCTCCTTTTAATTGTTCTATATATTTATTTTACATTTTCGTGGTTTCTCCTCCACCTCCCGCATCATGACCCAGTGGGACAGCTCTTCTCTCAAATAATTGAGCAGATGCTCTCTCTCAGTGCATGCCATAGCTAGCTTTTGTGGCGTCCAAGCAAAGGTGGCCTCCTCGAATCGCATATTCTTTTGTAGCCGTTGGTGACGAGGCTTTTGATACACCAACACACATCCGTGACGCCCATTGCAGTGGAGGCGCTGCTACTACTACTATGACTACTACTACTACTGCTGTTGTTGTTGCTGCCACTGTTGCAAGAGGTTGGCAACGCTACGAGCCAAACACATTGTAGCAGGCCTCGGATTGTCGATAAGTTAGTTGAACTCCACACTCGCCAGCTCCATTGAGATAACCCACAACCCACTGTAGCGGTTCATGTCCTGGTGGAGAATGGTTGGCCTAGACTTGGCAGTGGGCTGCTGCTGCTGCTGCTTGCAGTCGTATCATTCTTGACCTGACGTTGCGGTCACGTACAACACCAAGGCTAGCCATGCTTTCGGTGACCATTCCCACTCTCCTCCCCCCAAATCAACTTGGACAGAGAAGGCTTTGGAGTTTCCATTCTGCATTGTCGAATCCGTTGAGGTCAAACTGTTCAAGTCAAAGCGATCTCGAATGAATAAAACAGAAATATTTTCTCCTCTTCCAACTGTACTGACAGATTTCTTTCGTAGCTTGTTGATGTCACGCACTGGGCATGCTCGAGAACGAAGTGCAAAGAGACAAACCAATGCAAAAAAATGAAGAAAAATGAAATAAAATAAGATGGTCCAGATATAGATATAGATAACAGTTGTGTATGAATGAATCACCGGCTCCCACGTAATGCTAATATTGTGTTAGCCTTGGAGAGGAGAATGGCTGATGAAACGACAAAAGAGCTGAACCTTCCCCTTTCCTTTGCCCTCTGGGTCTCCTTTCTCTTTCCTTCGAAAGCTGGCTCAAAACTACTACCACCCTCTGAAAATGCTGCTAGAAAAATTAACCTCTTCTTTGCATAAAGTGGTCGAAAATGACAGTCGAGATAGCTCCCTCCTCTTCCTTTAATTCTATTCTTTTCCCTTTGTTCCACACTTACTTTTACATGCCTATATATATATATATATACACACACACACGCATGTACACATATACACACACATGTACACACACACATATTTAATTGAGAAAGAGAGAACCTGCTCACACTCTGCATGTTTATGAGGAGGACTTTCACGTTGTGGTGATCGGGGGAGTATAGAGGAAGAATTATATATATATATATATATATACACACACACACATTCACACAAATATATGTGTGTAGGTACACATAGCTAAATATAGAGTGGAGTCAATTCCAATCATTCTATCGGGAATCAGCAGTCTTTTTCTCCTTTAAGGAACAAAAGCCGAGAGTGGGGCAACAGAAAAATGGAGGTGGGTCCTGCTTCGTCTGCTTCTTCTTCTGCTCCATCTGGCATTGGAATGTATGTCCCTCTCTGCTTCTGTGCAATGCTGTGAAGCACCTCCACCCACACTTCCCTCACGCCAAGTGTCCACCAAACTCAACAGAAATTCCTTTCCAAAAAAGCCCAAAGAAAACCACCTTCTATTGGTACTCCTTTCCAAACTTGAGTTTTGTGGGTCTCTAAAAAGCATTATATATATATATATATATATTTATTCATGTTAAAACATTTCTGCACCAGGTTGCTGCCAGAAGAATCTGCCTGGAGACAGACCGTGTTGTTGCCTTGCCACCTGCCCTTAGCTGAATCAAAAGCAGCCATAGCCTCAGAATGCTTGCCATGTCCACATACACAACAAATATATATATGTATATATATATATATATATATATACACACACACACACTAGTTGAATAAATAAATAAAGAAGTTCATGGGGTTCAGCTTTTTTGTTGTAGCACCATCACCAAGGTTACTTACTATTCAGAATGTACTGCTCTAAATATTCTGCTTCGAGTACTTGTATTTACTTACAAATTTATTTTAGGTCTTCGTCATGTATAACTTTCCAATTTATTTCTTTTCTTCATTAAAGAGGGGCAAGGTCAAAGGAGTGCAAGTTTTACATGGCCGGGTACAAAGTGTGGTCAACTCTATTATTTGACCAAGTTTCTAACCTAAAAGTCAACTATAGACTCCTATAAAGTCAAAGCAGCGTCTATGAAGCTTCTAAGAAGCTTCTCTAGAAGATATTACACAATTAACCTACTTTTATCTACTTTTATATACTTTTATCTATTCATATAGGTAATTATATGTATGTCCGTGACATATATTGACTGTTTTAATTTTTAAGTTAGACTAATAAAAGACTTGATTATAAACTATTTATTCCAAAGATTAAAAATAAAAATAAAAATAAAAAATCCTTTTTTTGTAAAGATTTTTTTTTAATTTGCCATGTTTTTTCTTAATCTTGCAACATTCCTTAGTTTTGTGGAGCAAGATACAACCCAATTTGAGTTGCCATTGAGATTGGAAATAGTAGATTATTGCAATGAGACAATTTACTCAAATAGATGAGTTTAGAGACAAGATACCATATAGTATACAACATCAAAGAGAGAAAAAAAAAAGGGGGGGGGTGTTATATATATATATATATACATACATTTGTATATTTATATATTTATAGACTAAGAAAATCCATGACCATCTCATAGAAGAACTAGTAAGACATTTCAAGTGCAAGCTATATAACAAAATAAATTAAAAAAAAAAGGGGAAAAGAGAATAATACCACCAAATAGTAAGTGGCATTCTACAAGTAGTACAACCAAGCAATGTTAAACCTTACATTTTAGTAGTTGGTAGACAATGATGACATAAAAATAAAATAAATAAATAATAGTTAATTTTTATTATATTTATTATATATTAGACAGAGAACAAGGCCAATTACAAAAGAGATATTACAACTACAAAAGAAGAGTTAGAGAATAATCTGACATGAAAATTAGATATTAAACATTACAAAGTATAGAGGATGAAATTAGTGCTTTGGAATGATAAAAATTTGAGTAAACGATTTTAAACCTTGATTAGGTAACCATGCTTCTTTACTCAATTGAATGAGCAACCTCTAAAACAATTCAATAATTACAAACACGCTCTAAAAGTGTATTTTAGAGGAGGCGAAATTGTTTGCAAAAAATTCTTTTATATTAATGCTTAACACAGAAAGCGACAAAATACAAATACTAAGAAAAAAAACTATACGATAAAAAAGGAATTAACATCTAAAACATTAAAAGTAAAATAACAATCAATATTTTCAATTGTACCTAATCATTTGTCATCTTTGGATTTTACATGAATTAGCAGCAACAACATGACATATCATTGTGCACGTAATAATAAATAGTGATTGAAAAAAAAAAATTAAGAATCTCAACTCAAATTACTTTCTGTTTAATGACAAAATAATAATAATAATAATAATCATAATAATAAATAATACACAATCTATGATCAAACCAATTTCCAATGGATAAATTCACTTTAATTATTGTAAAGAAGAGATCAACCCTCACAATTATTTCTTTCTGGAAAATCATATTGTACATATAATTTAATAAAAAAGGATCTACAATAAATACCATGCTTAGCAAAAAAATTAAAGTATTTTGAAAAACACCATGGAACTTGTTAAAAAACTTACTTTATTAAATATTTGGCGTAAAAAATGAAAAATATTATAATATTACTAATATTATTAATATTA